CGAGCCTCATCTTATTTCCAACACAGGGTACTACATCCCCTGGTTGCATTACTTATTGCAAACATAGGGTACGACATTCCCTAGTAGCATCCCGAGTGCCACGAGCCTTACCTTATTGCCAACACAGGGTACTACATCCCCTGGTTGCATTACTTATTGCAAGCATTGGGTACGACATTCCCTAGTAGCATCCCGAGTGCCACGAGCCTTACCTTATTGCCAACACAGGGTACTACATCCCCTGGCTGCATTACGTATTGCCGACATAGGGTACGATATTCCTTAGTAGCATCTCAGTGTGCTAGGAGCCTCATCGTATTTCCAACACAGGGTACTACATCCCCTGGCTGCATTACTTTCTGCCAACATAGGGTACGACATTCCCTAGTCGCATCCTAGAGTGCCACGAGCTTCATCTTATTATCAACACAGGGTACTACATCTCCTGATTTCCTTCTTTCTATTAACACAGGGTACGACATCCCCTATTAAAAAATATGTTTTTTTTCAATTTCTTATTCTGCAATAGCAAAGGTTGTTTAATGTATTTTCAATAACTCATAAAAATTTTCTAGTGCAAACTGGGGCAGAAAATTTTTGTTCGTTTTGTTTGTTTGTAATGGCTTGTAGGTTTTTCTGTAAAGTACGGTTTGGATGTGCAAAAATAAGATTTCAGTTCTTTCCAGAGAAAGTGGAACGTTTGATCTCAATACCAGCTGCAACCAGCTATGACATAATGCATGCGGAGACATAGGGTGTCAAAATCCATCTTCTCATTACCTGATCAAGCATCAAGCCTGGGAGAATATTTCATAGTCTTTTGATCGAGAGCATCAAGTTTCAGTCTAAAGTCAATGGGAGAAGCAACTCAAGAATCAAGTCAAGACTCCAGATAGCATTTAGAAGGAATTTCGTAACTCTTAAGATTTCAATAGTATGTAATTTTTCTACTTATTTGATGTAATAGTAGGAACCACGGATCGGAACCTCGACGGAACTTCGCTCGACTCTCCATCTAAGCATACTCATTACTCTTCTTCCATTTGAACTACACGTGACCTGATTCCCTTATAACCCGGGATATGTAGGCTGCCTAAAACCAAGGCTCGGTCGATCTTTTTCTTTTATCATCTTTTCCTTTACAAATAATAGTGAGGTCAAAAATTAGTCACCTTGTTCATTTTCTTGCCTAAAAACTCTTCATGTTTCCAAGCAAAGAGGGGCAGGTTGTGAACAACTAATTTTTGACCACATCGAATTCCATACTATTTTAGTGTAAATATTTCTTTTAGGTTTAATCTAATATTTTAAAACTTTTATCTTGCTCTTAATAGGTTTTATATAAAAATAAATAAATAATACAAAAGTACTCACACTCTTAGAGTATGAATATATACTATAGTGTAAATATTAGATTTTTTTAATTTATATAATTTTTCTTAATTATATACACACCACACACACACACATATAATATACATATATATATATATTATATATATATATATATATATATTATATATATATATATATATATATATATATATATATATATATATTTACTTTTTATTTATTTATTTAACTTAGTAAATTTTTTTTTTAAATCTAACAAAAGAAGAAGAAAAGTAGATCTTTTACCTTTATTTATTTGTTTAACTTAGTAAAAGTTTTAAAAAAAAAATCTAACGAAAGAAGAAGTATCATAAATCTGAAAAAAAAGTAAAAAAAAGTAAGTAAGAATCCTAACTAAGTACACCATTCCCTCTTTCCAGCACCATTTTTCCCACATTCCCTAACTATCTCCTAATATATCTCATCCTACACTCCCACTTTGTTAGAACATGCGCAGCGGAAGCAAGCATACAATCAGGCATCAATTACATGTAAACTAGACAACGCAATAATAACGAGATCAGGAACACTAACCTCTTAAAATAGTTGCACAAATTCTCCAAGCAGCAAGAATCCAGGGCTGTAGTCTTCTGCTATATGCCTAGTAAAACCTTGAACACTTTTGCTTTTGGTGGGCAAGAACAATACAACTCTAGGGTTAGTCACACCGAAGAAACCTGTCTCTCATTTCCTTATTAAATACACGAATTTAAGCCCTAAAATAGGCTTAAAATCGTGTAAGACTAGGATTCCATAAGTAGAATCCTACTCTAACTCAAAAGAGTAACTTTTCTCCCAAGCTACTTTTTACCCAAGTCTGTCCAGGTTTTTACTAGGTATAGCAGGGACCACAGAAATAATAAGAGGCTACTAATTATAGTATTAATTCTAAATTAGCATGAATTAATTCTTACTATAATTAATTGCAATTTATTCCACTAAAAAACTGCAATTGAACTCCTCAATATGAATTTCAATATTCATTAACACTTATTTTAACTCCCCATGTTTAGATTTCAAATACCAGTTAATTAAATTAAATCACTGAAAATTTAATTCAATTAACTAATTAAATCCTTTATAATTCCGCTTAAAGCATCTCATGTGACGGATACAAAATCCACCTGCCGGTTTTCACATGAAAACTTATAAGCTTATATAAAGGGGTATCATCAAACCCAAAACCAAGTCATGGATTCTATCAACTAATCATTATTCCACAAATGTTATTTGTTATTGTCCAATTTATTAGGCATATACTAATTCTAAATAGAGTCGTACCTTTTGATAAATCAAAACAATAAACAAATTACATCGATCATAACAATTATATCAAGATTAGGAGTATAAGCTCATTTAATGAATTAGAGAAAGTGTTTTATATGTATTCAGTACAAAAAACACCTTTTCTCTACTTGGCCCGTTCAATATACACTGAGTATAATATACTAGCACAAGAAGTTGGGAGTAAACCTACTCCATAATCAAGACAAATTATACAATAATCTTGTGCTACAATCATCAAGATATTTGTCCTATAATATCTTCGATTGTGAACATAGTTTATTAATTATGAGAACCAACAATTTAATCTTCTGTGTATGAGCTAAGACTCCATACACTAAATTGTCTACTACATAATCAAAAGGACACACATGTTACAAATGATCCATTAAAATAGTGCTTTATTGAATTGAATAAATTAAATAAAATTGTTTCATAAAGAACAAAATATAATACTATGTCTAAACCGCATGGTTAATAGTATATCCCAACAATCTCCCACTTAGACTCATAACCATGCGTCTAATATTTTAACACCCATTCCTTTACTGAATTCAACATGCTCACATTGTTTCCTATGAGCAAAAAATCGTCTACGTACAAGACCAAAAATGTAACTTTATCTCCACTTCTTATAGACACAAGACTCATTTTCACATTGATCAAAACCGGAAGTCTTAATCGATGCGTCAAAACAAGTGTTCCATGCCCTAGAAGCTTGTTTCAATCCATAAATGGATTTCTTTAATTTACACAACATGTGCTCATTTCCACTTTTTATGAAACCAACTGGTTTTGCCATATTGATGCACTCATCAAGACTTCCATTTAGAAAAGAGGTCTTGACATCCATTTGCCAGATCTCATAATCGTAATGAGCCGCAATGGATAAGAGAATCCTTATGGATTTAAGCATGGCTACTCGGCGAAAAGGTTTCCTCTAATCGATCCCTTCTTTTTGAGTAAACCCTTTTGCGACAAGCCAGCTTTAAAAGTGTGAAATTTTCTATCCATTCCTCTTTTTTTCATATAGATCCATCTACAACCTGTGGGTTTGACTCCAGTAGGTGGTTCTACAAGATCCTAGACTTGATTTGAGTACATGGTCCATTTCGGATTTCATAGCATCAACCCATTATCAGCATTTGTATCATGTAGTGCTTCGTCGTAATTAATAGGTCTGTATTAGGCTCTTCAGGGATTCTATCATAAGATTCTCCCAAGAGCGCAAACCGGAGAGGTTTTTTAATAATTCTCCCACTACGACTAGTCACTACAGGTGGAGGCTGATTTTATTGTTGAATCACTTCACCACTTCCTTGAACTGAAGTATCAATGTTTATTTTCCCCACAGCAGTGGTGCTAGGATATCATTGACTTCTTCGTGGAGTGCAGGATCCCTCCCAGATTGCCTCTCAGAATCAGTGGCACTGTTCTGCCGCGGTCCTACCGCGGTTACGCCAGGACCGCGGTCAGAAGGCCCTGCAGAATCAGGGGCATTGTTCTGCCGCGGTCCTACCGCGGTTACGCCAGGACCGCGGCGAGAGAGGCTTTTGGATTCTTCAGGTTGCATAACAATTTTAGGTTGTTCAACAACGTGAGGTTGCTCAACAATCTGAGGTTGCTCAACATTATTTCCACTACTTTGGGGTAGTGAGATGTCAGGCAATTGTTTTTGTACAATCTGATGCCTATTGACATTTCTCCCACTACGATAATGCAGTGGTATGTCAATGCTGGCTTCCGGGATACGTTCAAGAGTTGAGTCGTTAGTTATTCCATTATTTAATTCCTGTAAAACTAGTTTACTTCTAGGAATATGGTTCGTTAGATAGTCCTCCTCTAAAAATCTGGCATTTGTCGTAACAATTACCTTCTTTTCTTTGGGACAATAAAACAAACCGCCTTTTGTTCCTTTTGGATATCCAATGAAAATGGATACTTCTGTCCTTGATTCCAATTTATCCGCTTTCCCTTTCAGCCACATGTGCTGGACAACCCCAAACCCGAATGTGCCGTAAACTTGGCTTTCGCCCAGTCCACAATTCATTGGAGTTGAAGGTACTGACTTTGAAGGAACCAAATTTAGAATGTAGTTTGCTATTTCTAAAGCATATCCCCAAAAGGAAAGAGACAAATCGGAATAACTTAACATTGATCTAACCATTCCCATAAGAGTCCTATTTCTTCTTTCTGCACACCATTTTGTTGTGTGTTCCCGGTGCAGATAATTGAGATGTAATTCCATTATCTGATAAGTATTTTATGAATTCCGCAGAAAGGTATTCACCACCACAATCAGATCATAATGTTTTGATATATTTATCATGTCGTTTCTCTGTTTCCGTCTTAAATTTTTGAATTTCTCAAAGCATTCAGACTTACGGCGCAACAGATAAAATATATTCATATTTTGAGTAATCATCTGTGAAAGTCACAAAATACTCAAAATCACCTCTTGCTTGTATAATTCATAGGACCACACAAATCAGAGTGAATTAATTCTAGCTTATCACTGGCTCTATTCCCTTTTGAGGAAATGTCTCTTGGTCATATTTACCTTCTAAACAGGATTCGCATGTTGGTAGTGATTCCACTTTCAATGAACTCAAAGGTCCATCAGAGACCAATCTCGAAATCCTATTTAGATTTATATGGCCTAGACGTAAGTGCCATAAATAAGTCTGACTCAATTCAGAAATACGTTTTCTTTATGTGGTAGATTAATGTATTTAGTTCTTTTGGTTGTTGTAGCACATGGGAGATATATCAAGAAAAAAAAGGTCATGTACTCTAGCAGCTTTGTAGAAATAAACGTCTCTGAAACTTAATAACAGCAGAGTTATTAGCAAAATAAACATTATAACCAGCATCCATTATTTTTGAAACCGAAATCAAATTCCTTCTAATGGAAGGTACATAGAGAACATCTTTTAAACTAAAACTCTATCACTACTAAACGAAAACACTAATATCTCCTAAAGCTAAAGCTGGTGCTGGCTCGCCATTGGCTTGATAACGCAAACTTCATTCTCACTTAGCCGTCGCGTTTCCTGAAACCCCTGCAAAGAATTGCAGATGTGATTAGTGGCTCCCCGAATCTACACACCAAAACATGGTAGAAACAGCCGCTAAACAAGTTTCAAACGACATTTTAAATTTGAATTACGTTGCATATTCAACTTTGCTAGATAGGCGGGGCATTGCTTCTTGTGATGCCCGGGTTGCTTGAGTGATAGCACTTGCCTTTGGGCTTGTTCACACAGCCGAACCACCAGGTGCCAGACCTTTTGAGCCTTCTTCTTTTTCTTATTGCCTTCGACTTAGAAATGAAGGTTTCCTCAACATTTAGGGTAAGGCTCGTGGCACTCGGGATGCTACTAGGGAATGTCGTACCCTATGTTTGCAATAAGTAATGCAACCAGGGGATGTAGTACCCTGTGTTGGAAATAGGATGAGGCTCGAGGCACTCTAAGACACTAATAGGGAATGTCGTACCCTATGTTGGCAATAAGTAATGCAACCAGGGGATGTAGTACCCTGTGTTGGAATAAGGTAAGGCTCGTGGCACTCTGAAATGCTACTAGGGAATGTTGTACCCTACGTTGGCAGTAAGTAATGCAACCAGGGGATGTAGTACCCTGTGTTGGAATAAGGTAAGGCTCGTGGAGCTCTGAAATGATACTAGGGAATGTTTTACCCTATGTTTGCAATAAGTAATGCAACCAAGGGATGTAGTACCCTATGTTGGCAATGAGGTAAGGCTCGTGGCACTGGGGATGCTACTAGGGAATGTTGTACCCTACGTTGGCAGTAAGTAATGCAACCAGGGGATGTAGTACCCTGTGTTGGAATAAGGTAAGGCTCGTGGCGCTCCGAAATGCTACTAGGGAATGTTATACCCTATGTTGGCAATAAAATCAGGCTCGTGGCACTCTGAGATGCTACTAGGAAATGTCGTACCCTATGTTTGCAATAAAATGAGGCTCGTGGCACTCTGAAATGCTACTAGGGGATGTCGTATCCTGTGTTGGCAATACAATGAGGCTCGTTTCACTCTAAGACACTACTAGGGAATATCGTACCCTATGTTGGCAATAAGTAATGCAGCCAAGGGATGTAGCACCCTGTGTTGACAATAAGATGAGGCTCGTGGCACTCTGAAATGCTACTAGGGGATGTCATACCCTATGTTGGCAGAAAATAATGCAGCCAGGGGATGTAGTACCCTATGTTGAAGATAGGGTGTTGATTCCCTATAATATGAAACTAAAAATAACATGATTACATGCATATTGGAAGGCAATCATGGATTTGAAAACTTCACTTGGTGGTGTTCGTCATTCTACGAACTGTTTCCTAAAACTGTTATGTTCTTGTTTTTAACAAAGAAAGATTCGTTAGTTTTAAAATGGTGGTCGATTTGTGGGCTTGATTATTTCAATCTCTTGATCTCGACTCATCTTCTTCAATGATTTCAACTGCAACTGATTATTTCCTGAATACCAACTGCATTTCTAACTTTGGAGAACCTTTGGCTTTTCCAAACTTTGCCATGACGATACTTACCCTTTTTCAATATTATGTTGCCTTTTTGGGAGACTTTTGGGTTTTCAAACTTTGCCAATGACTGTTAGTCACGTGGGGTTTAACATTTCAGCTTTATTTTGCCTTTGTTGGCGCTTCAATTTGATTTTCTTCTTCCAAAGTTTTCAATTTCAAAGCATCGGCTAATCATGGTCAGTCGGGGTCGACTTGATGCCCTTGCCGAGGCTGGGTGCCTTCTTGAACATTGGCTCGTGTCAAACAAAAGCCCAGTAAATCAATCTTGCCATCCTTTCTTTGTCTTAGTGTTTCAAAACAGAATTAGACCTAAAGGGATTCAAAGAAAAACAAACAATGAAATGGACAAATGAACTTAGACGAAAGGTATCCCTTTCGGGGAAAGGAAAGAAGGACTTATCTGGAGTACATGCAGACTTCAATGAGCATGACATGCCTCTTGGACTGGATGCCTGATCTGCGTAAACCGTCCAACTCTCAAAAATTCATCACAACTCATGCTTTCAAACCAAGAAACCTTGCCAGGGTTCTGTTGATGCCGAACGGTCGTGAGGATCCTCTTTTCGATCAGTGGCGCCCTTTGCGGGTTTTCACCAGCTAACCTCTCTCGTTTCTCTTCTCACCGTCGCCTTGTAGTGCTCTTTGTGAGTTTTCGCTAACAAGACTCTCTCATTTCAATTTCTCTGCTTACCATCGCCTTACGGTGCCCGGGAGGGTTTTCACCAATAAGGCTCTCTCATTTTATTTCTCGCATTTTGATTGTATCAGCTCCAAACGAGTGTATCCTCTAATTCTTTAAACATTCTCGCTGATTGATCGGAAGGACTTGAAAAGGATTTGGGTAAAAAGAATTTGGACTGAATTACAACTTTGGAACCTTTCAGGCAAACCCATTACCGAAACATTACAATATCTGCCCCAGTTTCACTTTTTGGGGAATTTGGATTTTTATTTTGGTGTGACTGAACCTCAGAGAAAGGCTGCCTACGTATCCTTTTGGAATCAAGTCGAACGTAGTTTAGGTGACTCTATTTTTGATTTTCTTTTTTTTTTTGGTTTTTTTTTCATTTTTGTTTTCTTTTGCTCTCTTTTTTTCTTCTTTTTTTTGTTTTTTTTTTGGTTTTTTTTCTTTTTCTTTTCTTTGTCATTTAATAATAACTTCCAGGTTCCAAAGAGGGTAATCAAAGATAGGGAGCCGGCTCAAAGTGTTTGCAAAAAGGCTAATGGTGTTTGGGTAGTGAGAAAGAAAGCCTTCGTCATCCCAATTAGAGAATGTTAGCACCGAGTACTGAGTCAAACATAGTACCTTCTGACTGCATCTGATTTGAATGTTGTCTCGGGGACATTTCCTTTTATGTCTCCCTAATACAACGGGCCTATGAATACTCTTGTTACAATGTAAGGATGTGACGACCCAAAGGGTCATCACCGGATTTCTCTCTTTTCCGTGCTTCCGAGGCCTTGAAAACCTCATTTCTGCTTGCCTCGATTTGCGTGCGCAGTCCGGGCGCGTAGCCGGAAAGCATATATGTTAAATTCTGTGAAAATTTTCAAAATGTGGCTTTAAAATGATTAAAGTTGACTTTGGTCAACATTTTTGGTAAACGGACCCGGACCCGTGATTTCACGGTCCCGGAGGGTCCGTAGAAAAATATGAGACTCGGGCATATGTCTGGAGTCGAATTTCGAGGTCGAGAGCCCGAGAAATGAATTTTTCTGTGAAATTGTTTTTCTGAAATTATTAAGGAAAATAGAAATGAAAATTGATTAAAAGACTATGGTATCGGGCTCGTATTTTGGTTCCGACGCCCGGTACAAGTCTTAAATATGTGTTAAGCGCTTTCTGTAAAGTTTGGTCGAAATCGGATGTCATTTGACGTGTTTCGGACCTAAATATCTCAAATTTGAAGTTATAAAGTTTGAAATGAAAATGATGATCTTGAGGCTTGGTTCAATGATTTTTGATGTTATTTCGGCGATTTGATTGTCCGGATAAGTTCGTAGGATGTTATTGAGTTAGTGTGTATGATTGGTTAGGAGCCCCGAGGGCTCGGGAGTGAATTGGAGGTGGTGCGGGGTGTTTTTACACTTAGAAAAATTGCAGATTTTGCTTCAGCTGTTGCAGAGCCCATTTCCTCTTCGCGATCGCGTTCTTCATCCCGCGTTCGCGATGCCTTACTCCCTCTTTCTTCGCGATCGCGTTCCAGCCCCACGTTCGCGTAGGGTTATTTGACCTTGAGGGCTGAGTCTCCTTTTCCCCTTCGCGTTTGTACCCTCGCGATCGCGTAGCTCTACAGAACTCCTTTATCGCGTTCGCGTGAAATCCCAAGCGGTCGCATAGAACAGTTCCTGGACCCCAGCAATTTCCTTCTACGCATTCGCGTCTCTCTCCACGCGATCGCGATAGCCTACCCAGTTTACCCTTCGCGAACGCGGCCCCTCTCCCGCGAACGCGAAGGGCAATTTTGCCCAGCGAATTTTTAAGTTAAAAACAGAACAGTAGCTCGGGATTTTCATAAAAGTACACGAACTCCTTTCTTCTCCAAGCACTTAGGAGTCCATTGAAGTTCCCTTTCATCAAAACTTCTTGGGTAAGCATTGTTCAACTTGTTTTCTTCAATTTCCTCTATTAATTACTAAATTACTAGTCCTAAACCTTGAAATCAAAGTAGAAAATGGGGGTTT